ATATATATATATATATATATATATATATATATATTATTCTTAGTCTTTATTTTTTTTAAATAAAATAATATTGTTCTTTCTCTAAAATAAAATTTATTATATATAAATGTTGTAATGATATTTTTATTAAAAATAATTTTTAATATATTAAATTATTATATTATTAATTCATGTTATTAATCAATATGTTTTTATAAAATTCTAATTACGTAAAAATATTTTTACAAAAAAATAATAATTAAAAACAATATTTGTTAATCCATATTTTTTATAAAATAAATTAATTAATATCATTTATATAAATAATAAATTTGATCTTATTTTAATTGAAACCAAATTTATTATTTATATAAATATTACACTAATTTTGAAAAACATTTTTATGATTTTCTCGACTTTTAAAAAACTAAAAATGAAATATGTAATTTTTCGTAGAAACAAATTAAGTATATGTGAAAATAAGAGAACCAAAATATATTTAAGTTATTGAATTGAATTCCTACAGAGATTAAAGTTCATACATCTTATTCTTGGTTAAAACTACTAACATCCTATAGTGATGAAACACTCATTTTCTAGACCGAGTTTAAAAACATGAATTTTGCGACCTATAAAATGTTTTTGTTGAATTATGATTTTGTAATCTCCATAATTAATCTACGCTTTTTGTGCCGTTATTTTATTTCAATGAAATTCTCAATTTTACATTCAAGGTAAAAAGCTTAACCATAATAATTATTTTAAGTAAATAAATTTTACATTATTTAGCCAATTACACCAAAATAAAATATAGCATACAAAACATTAAAATCCATAATTGAATAACCAAATTAAACACATGAAAATTATAAATTATAAATATGAAATACCCAATAGTTTTGCCTTCCATAATAAAAATTATATTAAAAATTACATTACAATTTTTTTTTCATAAAAACTAATTTTTTCCTAAAAATAAAAATTCTTTCTTTTGGGAACAAAAATGCATTTATGTCAATTTCAAGAAATAATTAAGCCATTTTGTTTATGATAAAATATAAAAAAGAAGGCAAGTGTGAAATAGTGACAAAGTGCCAATTAAAATAGAAATAAGACATGAAAGAAAGATAAGTGTGAATAAAAAAGATAAAGGATCGTGAGACATGTGAAAATTATGATAAAATAATTAACATTATTAATCTGCAAAGAAAAATATCACTTGTTAATGATGATGACATCACAGTGTGTGTGATGCTTAAACTAATACATATTTAACATGTTTTAGGAAAATATACATCAAAGAATTGGGTTTTTTTAGAAGGAGCTATGAGAAGTATTACACAGACACATCATCACTTGGAGAGGGTTACACAAACAAGACCGCTTAGAGAGGATTCAAGAGTTCTTGAACACTGAAAAAACTTGACCATCATCTCATGTTAGAGGCAGGACTCGAGAGTACTGTTCCATTAAATACCTTTCGTCTTTCCTTTCTCTGGAGTATACGCAAAGTTGGTGACTTGGGTTTCGTTATGTCCTTGGAAGACCTAAGAGCAAGATGGTGAGAACACACGATAAGCAATTACAAATTTACAACGTAAAAGTGAAAAGAAAGTTTAGTTAGGTTTTAAACTCATACTTTTGGGGACAAAAAGGATGATCAAATTTTGGAACTGGTCTAGCATGAGGAACCATCGTCCTACGCAATTGTTTCAAAGCTTTCTCTTCCTCTATCTGCACGTTCATGGTACAGATCACTTATCAGTATCAATCAATAAGAGATAACTATCTTATTCTCAGATATTAAATTGCAAACATAGTTGACATACCATTCTTGCTGCTTCACTCTCCTCTCTGTATCGTTTGTACACCATTTCTTTTTCTTTAATCTGTAAAAACAAACTATTTGAGTACTTTCACTGTAAAATCTCACAAGAAAAAGCTATATATGAAATTTTTGGTTACCCTTTCATCAAATTGTGCTCTGTCCACAGCTCGATGATTCATATGTAAACTAAATTCCTGAACTTGTGTGAGAGGTTTGCGGACCTTCTCTGGAAGAGGGATTGGGTCCCTGCATTTTTTAATATCCATTGGAAAAAAAAATTAGTTCGTTTGCAGTTTCCCCATCTGCACATTAAAGTAAGAAAGTCTTGCTTTTCTTTTCACTCACTCTTTTAAGATTGGTAGTGCTTTAAACTCTCTCATCTGGGCCTCTTCTCTTTCTATTCTCTGTCTTTCTTCCTGTTCCTTTTGCATTTCTTCTTCATGTTTCATCAAACTCTCCAATTGGAATGGCTCTGGTCTTGTGCATTGCTTTGGTTCTGGTTTTGGTGGGATCTGCAAATGATATTCACAGTATACTTCATCAATTTTTTCAACTAGCAAACGGAGACAAAAAAGTATTGATCGACAAAATTCTGTACCACAGGGTAATCGGTGGTGTAAGGGTATGGATTAGCCTTGGGAATCCTAGCTATTTCCTCCTCCAATTCTTTGTGCAGAAGTTCCATGATCAGTTTCTTCTCTTTCTCGGCACCTCTTTCCTGTAATGATTAAGAATGTTGGTATATAAGAATAACTAGATCAAAACACTGCAGTTTCAAACTATGGGGAAGTAATGAACCTCTGTGTGGAGATGAAATGGATTTGGAGTTGTGTTTCTTTTAATTGGGTTATGGTTACGTTCAGGTTCAGACTTCAAAGAAAGCTTCAACCATAAAAAATAAAATGATTACTCTCACCAGATAAAAATGATTCCAGAATTGAAAAGAAAAATATTTTTTTTTATATTCTAGATTACTGAATATCTGAAAGCAGACACTTCATCATTACCTTGCCAAATAAATCAGCCACGGAAGAAGCAGGTGGTGGAATCCTTTCATCTGTGGCAAAATGAAATTCTTGAGGTTCAGTAACATGCTTCTTGGTATTGCAGAATATTCCGATATCCCCTTTACTTTCAAAGATCTGAAAGAAAAATACGGTTAGTTAATTGACAGAATAAATTCTTAGAAATGGGTGAAACATCTCAGTTGGCACTATTACCTTCTTATTTAGAGGCTTTGCCTTGAATTTAGGGATATTTTGAAGCTCCTCTTGCTCTAATTCTAACGAGCTTTTCACCTTGGGCGGGCGGGCTCTTAGTGATGTTTGGAGTAATGGAGTTTTTGGTTCTGTAAGGTGATGAGGCTTCCATGAATTCCCCTGTTTAACAAAGAGGAGAGTGACTTGTGGATCGAAGTGAATAACAAATACTTAGATTCAGTTGTTTCTAAAATAGTTGTACCTTATAAGACACATCTGTTGAAGCTATTGAAACAGTATCTGCATTCTGATGGGCCCTAGCCAAAGTTTCCAAACGAAATTCCTGAAGAAAATGAAGACAGTAATTCAGAATATAGCCATTTGGCGTTTGTAATGTGCGTGAATACGTATCTTTTCATTTGCAATTCAATATTCTATTCTTTGGTGATGGTTACCTTAAATTCTGGTGGCTGAGGTGTACTTCTTGGAATAGGAGGCAAAGTTGCAGTTTGCAAAATCTAGAATAGAGAAGAAAAAACACGTAAAAAAATATACATAAATGGAAGTGAAGAATAGCAGAAAACCAACAATGAAAATATTACCTTCTTATTCAATGGTCGAGCCTTGAATTTTGGAATTTTAGCCATCAATTCTTCCTCAAGTTCTGCACTACTCTTCACCCTGGTTGGGCGAATGCGCTGAGATGTCTCAAATTCAGGCTCCTTAGGCCTAGTCAATGTAAGTTTGGGTTTTGTCTGAACCAAAGAAGTAGCATTATGAATATTTACTAAAAAAACATTTCGAATGCAGAGCACTAAAACATGAACTGCAAGTAGAAAGTTGGATGCATACATGAGAAGCAATGCTAGGCAGTGCTAGATCTCTAGTACTGGACTGAAATCTTTTCATCATTTCTGCCATTGATACAAATGGTACAGAGGCTGGAGTTGTTGGTGTCTCACGAATATAAACCTTCAAATACATAAATCAACAAGTGAAAAAAAGAGCGAAAAAGATTTGAAACATAAAGTATTCGATTTAATATATGAAAATTAATGGGACGAAACAAACCTTTCTCTCCTCCTTATTNATATATATATATATATATATATATATATATATATTATTCTTAGTCTTTATTTTTTTTAAATAAAATAATATTGTTCTTTCTCTAAAATAAAATTTATTATATATAAATGTTGTAATGATATTTTTATTAAAAATAATTTTTAATATATTAAATTATTATATTATTAATTCATGTTATTAATCAATATGTTTTTATAAAATTCTAATTACGTAAAAATATTTTTACAAAAAAATAATAATTAAAAACAATATTTGTTAATCCATATTTTTTATAAAATAAATTAATTAATATCATTTATATAAATAATAAATTTGATCTTATTTTAATTGAAACCAAATTTATTATTTATATAAATATTACACTAATTTTGAAAAACATTTTTATGATTTTCTCGACTTTTAAAAAACTAAAAATGAAATATGTAATTTTTCGTAGAAACAAATTAAGTATATGTGAAAATAAGAGAACCAAAATATATTTAAGTTATTGAATTGAATTCCTACAGAGATTAAAGTTCATACATCTTATTCTTGGTTAAAACTACTAACATCCTATAGTGATGAAACACTCATTTTCTAGACCGAGTTTAAAAACATGAATTTTGCGACCTATAAAATGTTTTTGTTGAATTATGATTTTGTAATCTCCATAATTAATCTACGCTTTTTGTGCCGTTATTTTATTTCAATGAAATTCTCAATTTTACATTCAAGGTAAAAAGCTTAACCATAATAATTATTTTAAGTAAATAAATTTTACATTATTTAGCCAATTACACCAAAATAAAATATAGCATACAAAACATTAAAATCCATAATTGAATAACCAAATTAAACACATGAAAATTATAAATTATAAATATGAAATACCCAATAGTTTTGCCTTCCATAATAAAAATTATATTAAAAATTACATTACAATTTTTTTTTCATAAAAACTAATTTTTTCCTAAAAATAAAAATTCTTTCTTTTGGGAACAAAAATGCATTTATGTCAATTTCAAGAAATAATTAAGCCATTTTGTTTATGATAAAATATAAAAAAGAAGGCAAGTGTGAAATAGTGACAAAGTGCCAATTAAAATAGAAATAAGACATGAAAGAAAGATAAGTGTGAATAAAAAAGATAAAGGATCGTGAGACATGTGAAAATTATGATAAAATAATTAACATTATTAATCTGCAAAGAAAAATATCACTTGTTAATGATGATGACATCACAGTGTGTGTGATGCTTAAACTAATACATATTTAACATGTTTTAGGAAAATATACATCAAAGAATTGGGTTTTTTTAGAAGGAGCTATGAGAAGTATTACACAGACACATCATCACTTGGAGAGGGTTACACAAACAAGACCGCTTAGAGAGGATTCAAGAGTTCTTGAACACTGAAAAAACTTGACCATCATCTCATGTTAGAGGCAGGACTCGAGAGTACTGTTCCATTAAATACCTTTCGTCTTTCCTTTCTCTGGAGTATACGCAAAGTTGGTGACTTGGGTTTCGTTATGTCCTTGGAAGACCTAAGAGCAAGATGGTGAGAACACACGATAAGCAATTACAAATTTACAACGTAAAAGTGAAAAGAAAGTTTAGTTAGGTTTTAAACTCATACTTTTGGGGACAAAAAGGATGATCAAATTTTGGAACTGGTCTAGCATGAGGAACCATCGTCCTACGCAATTGTTTCAAAGCTTTCTCTTCCTCTATCTGCACGTTCATGGTACAGATCACTTATCAGTATCAATCAATAAGAGATAACTATCTTATTCTCAGATATTAAATTGCAAACATAGTTGACATACCATTCTTGCTGCTTCACTCTCCTCTCTGTATCGTTTGTACACCATTTCTTTTTCTTTAATCTGTAAAAACAAACTATTTGAGTACTTTCACTGTAAAATCTCACAAGAAAAAGCTATATATGAAATTTTTGGTTACCCTTTCATCAAATTGTGCTCTGTCCACAGCTCGATGATTCATATGTAAACTAAATTCCTGAACTTGTGTGAGAGGTTTGCGGACCTTCTCTGGAAGAGGGATTGGGTCCCTGCATTTTTTAATATCCATTGGAAAAAAAAATTAGTTCGTTTGCAGTTTCCCCATCTGCACATTAAAGTAAGAAAGTCTTGCTTTTCTTTTCACTCACTCTTTTAAGATTGGTAGTGCTTTAAACTCTCTCATCTGGGCCTCTTCTCTTTCTATTCTCTGTCTTTCTTCCTGTTCCTTTTGCATTTCTTCTTCATGTCTCATCAAACTCTCCAATTGGAATGGCTCTGGTCTTGTGCATTGCTTTGGTTCTGGTTTTGGTGGGATCTGCAAATGATATTCACAGTATACTTCATCAATTTTTTCAACTAGCAAACGGAGACAAAAAAGTATTGATCGACAAAATTCTGTACCACAGGGTAATCGGTGGTGTAAGGGTATGGATTAGCCTTGGGAATCCTAGCTATTTCCTCCTCCAATTCTTTGTGCAGAAGTTCCATGATCAGTTTCTTCTCTTTCTCGGCACCTCTTTCCTGTAATGATTAAGAATGTTGGTATATAAGAATAACTAGATCAAAACACTGCAGTTTCAAACTATGGGGAAGTAATGAACCTCTGTGTGGAGATGAAATGGATTTGGAGTTGTGTTTCTTTTAATTGGGTTATGGTTACGTTCAGGTTCAGACTTCAAAGAAAGCTGCAACCATAAAAAATAAAATGATTACTCTCACCAGATAAAAATGATTCCAGAATTGAAAAGAAAAATATTTTTTTTTATATTCTAGATTACTGAATATCTGAAAGCAGACACTTCATCATTACCTTGCCAAATAAATCAGCCACGGAAGAAGCAGGTGGTGGAATCCTTTCATCTGTGGCAAAATGAAATTCTTGAGGTTCAGTAACATGCTTCTTGGTATTGCAGAATATTCCGATATCCCCTTTACTTTCAAAGATCTGAAAGAAAAATACGGTTAGTTAATTGACAGAATAAATTCTTAGAAATGGGTGAAACATCTCAGTTGGCACTATTACCTTCTTATTTAGAGGCTTTGCCTTGAATTTAGGGATATTTTGAAGCTCCTCTTGCTCTAATTCTAACGAGCTTTTCACCTTGGGCGGGCGGGCTCTTAGTGATGTTTGGAGTAATGGAGTTTTTGGTTCTGTAAGGTGATGAGGCTTCCATGAATTCCCCTGTTTAACAAAGAGGAGAGTGACTTGTGGATCGAAGTGAATAACAAATACTTAGATTCAGTTGTTTCTAAAATAGTTGTACCTTATAAGACACATCTGTTGAAGCTATTGAAACAGTATCTGCATTCTGATGGGCCCTAGCCAAAGTTTCCAAACGAAATTCCTGAAGAAAATGAAGACAGTAATTCAGAATATAGCCATTTGGCGTTTGTAATGTGCGTGAATACGTATCTTTTCATTTGCAATTCAATATTCTATTCTTTGGTGATGGTTACCTTAAATTCTGGTGGCTGAGGTGTACTTCTTGGAATAGGAGGCAAAGTTGCAGTTTGCAAAATCTAGAATAGAGAAGAAAAAACACGTAAAAAAATATACATAAATGGAAGTGAAGAATAGCAGAAAACCAACAATGAAAATATTACCTTCTTATTCAATGGTCGAGCCTTGAATTTTGGAATTTTAGCCATCAATTCTTCCTCAAGTTCTGCACTACTCTTCACCCTGGTTGGGCGAATGCGCTGAGATGTCTCAAATTCAGGCTCCTTAGGCCTAGTCAATGTAAGTTTGGGTTTTGTCTGAACCAAAGAAGTAGCATTATGAATATTTACTAAAAAAACATTTCGAATGCAGAGCACTAAAACATGAACTGCAAGTAGAAAGTTGGATGCATACATGAGAAGCAATGCTAGGCAGTGCTAGATCTCTAGTACTGGACTGAAATCTTTTCATCATTTCTGCCATTGATACAAATGGTACAGAGGCTGGAGTTGTTGGTGTCTCACGAATATAAACCTTCAAATACATAAATCAACAAGTGAAAAAAAGAGCGAAAAAGATTTGAAACATAAAGTATTCGATTTAATATATGAAAATTAATGGGACGAAACAAACCTTTCTCTCCTCCTTATTAGTTTTACTAGTGCTAGAAGACATCGTAAAACCCAATTTTGATTTGTTATGAGGCAAAGTTTGATGCTTGACATTCAAAATCTGTAAAGTTAAAAAATATAAATTAGAATGCATTTGATATAAAGACCAAAAAAGCAACAGTGAAGATCAAAATTACCTGTCTAGTTTTTCCTCCTTCCAATTTTTGCCTCTTAATAGCTTGATTCTCCTGGGACAAGTGAAGAGTCCCAGCAATGCTCTTCCCAGTTGCTGACTTTAGCTGAGATTTTGTATTCGTAAGAATCTTCTTATTCTGTGTCTTCTTGGAATTAGTGGAAGTGGTGACTTTTTTTAGCAAAGCTGGTTTTGGAGTGCAAGCATCTTTTGCTACTTCAGCAGATGCTCCTTCAGCTGATGAAACAAAGCATCCACTATCTCCTTTATAATTATTCTCAATTCTTTCCTTTTCAGTGCAAGGTGCATCATCTTCCTTTACAGTAGTCACAGCCAAACACTGAGGTTTTATATTAGTTTCCAGAACATTCTCATCAACATTTGCTGGTGCCTAGTAAAATGAAATATAATCAGTCAAACTAACCAAATCTAAAAGTGCATATCTATCACGAAAACTGATACAACAGTACCTTCTGCATTTTATCAACTTCAACTTCCTCTGTTTTGGCATCCATGCTCTGTGGGTATATATTCCTTTCCGGAACATCGACACTAGCTAACATCTATCAAAAGAGTAGATAATTAGTTAAAGGAGCGAATATTCAATTATACACATGACCAAAACTGAAATAGATAATAGTACCTTCTGCATTTTGTCTGCTTCCCTAAAATCACACAAGCTATCTACAGTAATAGATCTAGCAGTCTTGATTTTAGGCATGAATGCTGCAGCAAAATTTGAAAA